AGTAAATCATAACAATAATAATTCTGATTGTGATTCTAGCAATAATGGTCTGTTTCCTCCATGGAGCTTGATACGATAATGTGAAAGTTTGTTGGCAAGACAATAACATGGCTCAGTATGAGTGGCAGGCTCGAACAGTTAGATATTGCACCTTTAAGTTGATGTTTGTCTATACCGTCACTGAGAGAAGCGTTATGGAGCGAGGCCTTCGTGCTCTATGCTCCTAATTGGGGGTTCGATACAGCTGTCTTGTCTGCTACATTTCCCTCATTTCTACCCCTCTCTGCCAGTTACACTCAAACAGACAGCACACAACGAGTGCAAGAGAGGCAGCCTCAGAAGCCTCAGGATCCATTCCCAATATGTAGTTTAACATCTTCAAGAGCTATAAAGAAATGAAGTAGTGTCGGGATATTGCTCTGATGAAACAGCGATGTTCTGTGAATCCGCTAAAAGGGCTCTTGGTGAAGGCTAAGTCGCTGCAGGCAAATTTGAGTATTACGGTTAAATGAGTAAATTACTTTATGACTAAAGTTAGGGTAGTTATTATGCGAGGACAAGGACTAAATACATATATCCAACTTAGAAAAGAGTGAAGATATTGTTACAATATGCAGCGACTACCTGGGCATAAAGGTCCACAAGTCAACCAGTGTACTCTTTGGATTTCCCCCAAGCCTGGATAAAGATGGTGTTAGGTCCTCTGATGTTTGTTTAGCAAAAGTCTAGTAGTATTCAAAACCACCAAGTACTGCATCCAACCCAAGAAAACAAATGGATATACTGTAGCTTAAAACAACATAAAGACAATATGGCTTTTTAAAGGAAACATATGGAGGTTATTAGAAAGTGGAGACTTTGTGGCCCAACTAATGCTGTTGGTACAAAAATTTGAATCGACTTTTGACAGAGATTTATGTCATAACAAATACAAGACTAAAGTCCATTTTTCATTAGAGAGACTAAATGGAGTGTATGTTTGCACTCCACTGCACCCTCAGCCATAATTCTGCCGAATACACCCATTTTCTCCTGACCATTTTAAATTGGCTCCTCAGAGTGTTACTAATTCCTGCCCACAAATTTCACCCATAAAAGTGCTAAGATACAATCTGGATTTGGTGGAAAAGTGAATATCACATCACAGACTGTTGAAACAAAGACTTTTAAGAGCCTCTGCTGGGTGAATATGTTCTTGATTTCATTGAGAAGAATATAGTAAAATACATGGATTTGACTACATCCACAAAACCGATTATGTATTTAAATACAGTACTGGTATTAAATAAGCTTTTCAGTACTTCCTTTAAAAATACACAATCATATAAAAGCATAAATGCATCACTAATAATATTGATTTTATATCCCAAAAATACACAGTGTATCTAAAAATGTGAAAAAGAATCACTCAAGTGTTGGGAGGAATACTTGGAAAAAGTTACAGAATAATGAAAGCTTTAGATTTATTTCCAACAGTTTGAATCTCTGTTGTTGGAGAATTGACAAATTTAAAAAGTCCTCCGAGCTGACTATCTGTTGTGATTTACTATGGCACAGTACACATCATTTTCATATTATCTTTTTCAAAATGGTCTGTCTATAATTACAAGCCTGCTTTGAGATCCCTGGCCTTTCTGTGTGGAGTTGAAATGTTTCATGAAGATCCAACCTAGGACCTTAACACCTTGACTTGAACATGCCAGAGCTCAAGCCACCGCCACTAAATGGTAAGTTATAGTTATTTTGTGGCCGGTAACTTCCGCTTCTCAGAAAGACAAGAAGTGTGACTAAAGCTGGCGCTAAATTGCCCTTGTGGAGCTCTCTGGATTCTTCTCACGTTCCGCTCTGTCCCCAGACGTTAAAAGTGTGTCCATAGTTGGGGCGACCGGGGGAGTGATTGGAAATGTCAGCTGACAACAGCACTTTTCACTGACACTCGGAGAACTGGCACGGCGACAGAGCTGGGGAGGGGGAAGAGAGAATGAGGATGTACGAAGAGGAAAGAAAAAGGGCACAATTTGGCAAGAAATATAGAAAGAGTAGTGGCAAGAGTCGGAGCTGTGGGACTGTCCTCCTGTTACCCTGTCTGTCTCTGTGCGCAGTGAATAAGTGAAAGAAATAGCCGCTTCAATGCCTCATATAATATTTTGTTTGTGGTATCTTCTGCATGGGCCATTGCCATATAGTGTCATGGACTCGCAAAAGGCTGTCACTCCACCTGCATTAGAAAGAGACTTGCAAGTAGCCCAGATTGAAGAATGGGTCAAATACAAAAGACATTTCCCCACAGGGACAAAAATGTTTACAGGTGAAACTCAAAAAAATAGAAAATGGCAAGCTATCATTTTGATGATTTGGGCTTACGATGCATTTTCAAATTATTCATGAGGTTTTATTTGGGGTTTTTACAAGCTGTAAGTCAATTTATATGTGAAACTAATATATTATCATAGTTGTATGTTGAATTAAGGCAAGGAAAGTTATTTACAGTTATTTAGCACAGTTAATATAAAAGGAATGTCCAAAGTGCTCGAGAAAACAAGAAAATAAACATTAAAACATTAAAAGCTTTTAAAATATATAAAAATAATCACAGAACATTAACAAGAGTGTAGATGCAATCCTCTAGTTGTAATAGCTAAACAGAAACTAGATTTTAATATTGTCAGAGTAGGAACTGTGTCATATTTTCATGAAGCCTGTTCCAGATTTTAACTGCATAAATGTTCCTATGTTTAGTTCTGACTCTGAGCACCAGCAGGAGGCCAGCCCCTGTGCTCCTCAGGCTGGTTCATATGGCACTAACATGTCACGGGCGTACTATGGTGCGAGGCCATGGAGAATTACAGTAAAGTAAATGGACTTTTGAACGATATTCTAATCTTGAACATTTCACCTGTATCTCGCCCTTAATAGAGCGAACCAATTTATAGCTTCTTGCATCATTTTTTCCACATGTCAGATATATCAGGATAAGCCAAGAGGAGTAGCAAGGATTTGATGTATTTATAGTTATTGATTCATTTACCGAGGGTATTATTTATAACGGCAAAACAAGTTGACGTTTGATTGGCTTTTTAATTCCGTTCCTGGCCAAAGCAGATTGCATGCAAATTCACTGCACGATTTTTTCCTCCTGGATTGAGTTGTGTAAACCCAGTGCCAGCCCATTGCCCGTGTGGCACACAGGCCCTCTCCCAGTGACCTTTTTCAAATGTTACTTGCACTTGGCACACTGTTGGTCTCTCTAATGAAACTTTTATTGGACCCCATTTTTCAGCGTGTTCCTCCAGAAGACCTCCAGGGCAAAATCTGAAATACAAGGGGCTTAAACTGCAGCTGACGCGCAGAAGGCGAGCCCGTAGTGGACCGGCGAGTATCAGCAGCTTTCTCTTTTCATCCTTGAATCAATTAAATCTATTGGAAATGTCACTTCGATAATTTAACTGCTTGAGCTAAAGAATATTAAGCACAATACATCATTTTCCAATTACCCTGAATAATTTGCCGGAGCAGCTGAAGGCATACGGACTCTCGGCGGAGAAGCTGCTTTATAGCTCACATTACATTTGGTGCAGATTGTGTTTGTCCACAAAGAACAAGTGGGAATGAAATGTACTGGGGATACTTAGCAAAGTGTCAAACCCAAGTATAATTTTCAGACAGCTCAGAGTTTGAAATTACAGTTACAAATGATTTTATTTGACTGATCCAACTTTTATGTTGAATAAAAACAAATGACTTTCAGTGGTGCCAAGGAAGGTGTTTTAAAGCAACACCAAAAAATTTAGTTCAGACCAGCCAACTCAAATATAGTTTAAAAGGTGACAGTCAATTAGCAAAATTGAAGTCATAAAAGTCTAATACTACCTTCAGAGAACTTTAAATTCAACAAAAACAGTGCTTGAAATAGGAAAAGGCTCTCATGTTCCTATAGTCCCATTCATATGATACAAAACAGACCAGTAGCTAGCTGTTGTACGAAAGCTTTCTACTTTTTACATTAGAGAGCTTTAGTTTGCCCCCACAGTATTTCATTTGGAATAGAACGCTTCCTTTCTACTGCTTGTACATACATCAGAAATTGTTCAATACTGCTGATGGGCAAAAAGCCTATAATTAAAGTCAAATACTGTATGTGTAGCAATTAAACAGACTTGACATCATCTACCGATCCAAACCATTCTGGCCTGGGACAAAAAAACTTTAAAAATGAGTATATTTTTTAATATCTATGATACTATTAACACTTTGAGGATCACCTAATTTTGCCTGTTCCTTCTCAAATAAGGATATCCCAATGGAAATGCTTATTGTGTGGACATCTTGTGTCTGATGTTGTGTTATGATGCCTCATTTGAAAGGTAACACACACAAGTGAATTCTAATGCTGATGCTGTTAAATAAAAAAGATTTGAATCCATCTGAATATCTAAATGAAAATGAATAAATGAATCCTCCCTGTATAGGAAGGATGAAAAAAAATCCAAGCCAAAATAACCACAAATTCAGCAATTTCCATTTACTACATTTGCTCCATTGTATGTGGCTTTAATGTTTCACTCGACTGCTCCCTTTGATACGTTTTTGACACTTCTGTTACTTGTACTTATGTTGAAAATTACCAGTAGCTTTTTGAAGGGTGGCAGTTTGGGCCCATTTCACTGGAACACTTGCATTAGTCAAAAATCTGTTGCAATTACCCTCATTAGAGAAAGGCATTAGAGTGACCTGCAAAACTCCCAAACAGCCCTGTCCCAAAGCAAGCGCAGCGGATGGGATCGGCTCGGCTGGGTGGTGTTTTTCCGCTGAGGAAGTGGCAAGGAAGAACGCAGAGGTCAAGAGAACACTGTTGATACTCATTAGAGACACTGTTGTTGGACTCATGCAAAACTAATTACCAAGAGCTGAGATGAAGTCAGCAAATAAACAGTCTTATTCAGTTGCCCGGCGTTAAGTGAAGGGGACTGTGGTGCAACACAATAGGACGGTGAACTCACGGCTGGCACAGTTTGATGAGGTCTTGGTCCGTGGTGCCCGGGGGGAGGCCTCTGATGTACAGGTTGGTCTTACTAAGCTGCTCCATTAGCCCTCCTCCTTGACCTCCACCACCTCCTCCTCCTGTGGTACCGGGGCTGGGCGGAGCCATTGGCGGCGGGGGAGGCGCATAGGACTGCTGTGGGAGAGAAAAATGCAATGTTGTCAAGCTTGTTAAATAAAGTTTGCTTTCAAGTTGACGTTTGCCATTCCCACACTGCTCATTTCAGTGTAATTTACCAATGATTAAACTGCCTTAGGCATACTAGCCGTTATGAAGGCTTAGCGCTTTTTTATGGTTTCACTGCTTATGTTGCTGTTGCTCATCTGCCCATCATTGTATATAACCTGCATTGACAATTGTAGATGTAGGCGGGGCTAGTTCGGCCGCACGCAGGCTAACAATTGTTAATCTCGTATATGTAAATTCCTGACACTCTGATGATCTGACGTAATGCATAAAAGCTGAAATAAATCATTATTATTATTACTATTTCCTCATTATTTGACATTTAATGTTATCAAAATAAAGTGTTGATCCTCTTGACCGTATGGCATGGATGGCATATCAGGAAATAGGAAAAGGATTTTTTCTCAGGTGTATGTATAACTATGACGTCAATTGTATTCATAAACATTTTAATGCAAAATAACATTATCAATTTTCAATTTCACAATCTCCATGTAACACTGCATCAAGCATTAGCATAGCTGTATTGCCTAAAACCTTGTAAAGTTTCTCTATCACAGGTACTGGGGACTTCATATTGCCCTTATTGCACCGATGTTTTGGTTAATACGGCGATTAACTTGTATTTTGTAACTTGCAATGTGCGCACCATGTTAGCCTGACGTAACACTTCTAATTCCCACCTTTTTTGCAAAACCAAAATAAAGAATTATCAGCAAAACTATCAGAAAAATGGAAGCTCTTCAAACCATGTTATTTTCACTTCCCACTGAGCTCCGTGGATAACAAACTGCAGAACAAGTTAATCGGCCTCCGCAGTTCCTCGGGAGCAGTGTTTCTGAATAATCTTTTTCTCTATTAAGCTTCATCTCCAAATTAAAGACAGACACGTGAATATGTGTAATTAGTGTCTCACGTTAAAAAATTAAAAAACAATATTTATAAAAGAAAGCTGTTATTATTTCTATTATACGCTAAATTGTCTTTTCTGTGAAGTGACAAATGAATTAAAGATTAAATCACTCAGGTTTCATGTTGTAAAGGACCATTTTAGAAACATAATAAAATGTTTAACTTTTGGCACATTTTCTTAGTTATTATAACTTGAGCTGTTCCTCATATTCTTCAGATCCTCAATTGTTCAGTTCAGTTACAAAACTCAATAATGCTCAAATTACAGTCTCTGGCCAGAAGGATGTGGCACTAAACGATAAACAGGATGTCCATGGCTCTCTGAAAATTATATTCGATTGTGCATACTGAGCAGCTATCACTTCAAAATAAAACTCATTAATTTGTATTTAATTAATGAGTTTTTGCTCCTACAATAACCTCTTAGCTAGAGTAAGTCAGATCATTCCCCGGTAATTTTAGAAGATAGAAAGAAGAGATAAACCATTGCTTGTCATGGACATTTCTGCACAACATTTCTGCACAATATAAAAATAAATGCGTAGTTTGAAATCACAACAACATTTTGCCTAGATTCCATACTCATTTTCTAATTGTCGGTAATAGTCAATTTGAAACAGAACGGAAGCATGGAAGGGACCGGGCAAAAAAAATTGTCCCAAATGTATTTAACAATTATTTGGAAAGTAATTAAATATATGTTTATATTATATTTTTATATTTCAAAATAAGAACCAGATGGCAGGACACATGTAAGGACAATAATGAGGACCATTGGCAGGATACACTTATGACTTTATGACTTATCCCAATTATTTATATTAATGCATTGTATTTAGTCCTCCCATAGCACATTTCTAGACTACAGCTTTTCAGATGCAACTTAGGAACATAATAATAATGATCAAAAATATTATTATTAATATTATTAACAACACATCAGACAATATTCTACATGCATGCACAATTCTGCCCCAGGATCTTGTCCCATCTCTAAAGTATAAATAATATATATAGTACTGTAACTCCACATACAGTGGGAGAAACAATGGGTTTCTATTGCAGTAATAATGACTAAAATAGCCCAGTCCTTCCTGTCAAGATCTGTAAACTATGAAACTGCTGCGGCTCGGGAAGATCACAGACCACTTCCTGTGTTTGGTCTAATGACAAGTGACACGGACAGGAAAAACACAGCGCCAGGAGGAGCGAGACAAGTGCAGCGGCGGCAGGAAGAGTCTGCGTGAACAGTAGAGATCCATGAATGTGTGTGTGCAACTGCGAGCAATGGGAGAGGAGTGCGAGAGCGCCTGTTTGTGATAATGACAGGTTGTCAGCGAACTGCAGTGTAGAGCCGCGGCCAGCTCTGATATTAATCCATTACCTGTACTTCCCCTTGCACACTATACACACACACAAACACACACGCACACACACAAAAGCATACAGAGAACAGGGGCAGACTAACAGGATTCAGTGCTGTGTGTGGAGTGGTGTCATTTGGAGACATAATTTCAGACAAAATTTATTTTTGAAAAGATACATTTATTTTATAGGGTTTCTAGGGTTGTCGCTGATCACAATGTCAACTCTTATGAATCTGGATTATCAACACCAGAATTAAAATTGTTAGACAGAAAATAATTTGGGAGGAACAGCAAAAACGGGGATAATATTATTGCATTGAGTTTTTTGCCTCTACTCACTCATGCGTCCTCTCTCACTGAGGTAATTAATTTTTTGTTTGGTTATTTATAAAAGTAGAAAAAGAGAGAATTAGGAATTGAGGAGATTCAATATGAGGTTGATAGTGATTCATCTTTCATGTAGTAGAATTCCATTTCAGTTTGGTGATACAGGTCTGTAGGAAAGAAGCAATTTTTTTGACCAAATGTTTTCCAAGATCTTAATCTATGTCCGAAAGTCCTGGCCAACGTCATGGTTTTATTTTTATTATTCTGCACAGCTTTTGCTCCCGAGAGATTTTAATTCTCACCACACAATGTGACTCTCGGGAGCAAAAGCTGTGCAGAGTCATCTTTCTTTCTCTTATTGCTCTATTTTCGCACGCAACTTAGACTTGGATGTGTGCGTCAAACTCACGCTTGCTCTACTTTATTTTTATTATTGTCACCACTTCTGGATACATTTATGCTAACATAATTAGACCAGAGTGGATTTGTACTGACAAGGAAAACGTGGAACTTTGTGACAGTTTTAGAATCATGTGGATTGACCCAAATTACAGAGCTTGACTTGATGGCTGACTTTTGACAGTTACTATAGTTACCAGGAAAGATGTTTCAGCTGCCCTCCATCACAATTTTAAACTATAGGCTCTTTGGAATCTTATATACGATGCTGCATGAACGCAACCTAAACCCTTAGAATCCAGACATAAAATCAATATCACCTCACAATGCAACCAACGATGCAAGCATACAGTAAATGCATGAAGTCCACATCATTGCTGGTTCTACGTTGAAAGCCGAGGTCACTTTGCCACCAATTTACACTGCTTTGAGACCAAAAAGACTACAAGACAAGATAGTTACATTTTCGAATCACCAACATCCCTCGCGGCTCTGCTTATCGCAGGGCTGAACTGTGCTATTGTCCAATATCGTACTTCCACTCGCTCCCTTACTTTCCTTTGTACCTGCCTGCTTGTTTTCTCTTAAGGATTACTGTGCATCCCTGTGTGGACGGACGCTTGCCTCTCAGCTGGTATTGTTGACACAGTGTGTACAGTGGAGCGGCTCGTGTAGAGGGAAAAGGCTTCCAGGCAGACACACTGTCACACAAGGCAAACACGGAGGAGACCGATTCTGTGAGATCTGGTCGAGCTGAGAAAAGCAACACGGCTCCCTCCTGAAATGTTGTATACTTCATGGTGAAAAGGTTCTCTGGGTACAGGATGTTCAGGGTACACAGGGGTGGACAACTTGGTATCCATATTTTTTGCTTTATCATGCTAAAGTCAGAGATTTTTTACGTAATTCTTGCTTCTTATTTATGCTAAAGCTGGATATTTTATGTTATCTTATTTTATTTAGTAGAAAGTATAGTATGTGGGCGGCACGGTGGCTGAGTGGATAGCACTCTCGCTTCTCAGCAAGAAGGTCCTGGGTTCGAATCCAGGTGGGGACAGGGCCTTTCTGAGTGGAGTTTGCACGTTCTCCCCGTGTCTGTGTAGGTTTCCTCCGGGTGCTCCGGTGTCCCCTATCACTAAAAACATATACAATAAGGATGAATGTAATGAGTGAGTGAATGGATGGTGTTAGGTCAGAGGCTTTGATGCGCCAGTGTGTTCATCACCGTGTGTGGAGAGAATGGTAAATCTAAACAATTTTAAAGTGTATGGTTGACCTTGGTCTGTAAAATGTGCTGTATTAAAAAAAACATGACTTACTACAGTATATAGGTATTTAGTATAAAGTTTAGTATAGAGCTGTGTTCATTTATCTTACCCTGTGCTGTGTTCATTTACCTTGTGCTGTGTTCTCACTTCTGCCTATTTGCACAATCTAAGTGAATCTATCTATGCCAAATGTACATTTCTCCATTGTGAGATCAATAAAGTTTGCAGGATCTCTCTGAACAGTAGGGGTTCAGAGAGTGAATTCATTGTGGTTTAAGGTCTCGCAGATCTACACCACAATAAGGAGAAGAGCGAGGTCAACCTGGGCTAAAGCCACAAGTTCAATAACAAAGAAGCAAAATGAGGAACAACAAAATTAGAACCATACAAGCCAACAACATTCAGCAATAATGAACAGATGCAGAGTGGGACGTGGGCTAAAGCAAATGGGACGATATTGTTGTTGTTGTTATTGTCCCTTTCCTGAAACGCAGTTGAAAGAATGCACTCTATTTTTGACCACGGTCTCAGATTCTCTGTTACAACTGAGGAAGGAAAAGCGCACAAACACATTGAAATGCAGGGAAGGCTCTGAATAGAACATCTATTTTTGCACATTACACTTTAAATACTTATGCTAGTAACCTTGAAAACATACTTCTATCAATTCACAGAC